TATATGTACACATATATGTATATATATGTGTGTATATATGTATATATAAACATGCATTTGTGTATATATGTATATGTGTGTGTATGTGTGAATCTATATAAAACTAAAAATTGTTATTTACTGTTTAGATACAATCTCTAGGTCTTACCCTGTGAACTTATATTCAGGGCGTAAAGTCTGCAACAGTACTTGCATTCATCTAGTTGGGTTAAGAGCTACTGAGAGTTGTATCCTTAGAGAGCTCAGGAGAAGGGATGCTTGGAGACTAGTTAGTCTTCAGTTCCTGGTTGTGATCAAAATGGAAGGGGTTTCATGAAATGCAGTTGTTTACTCCAAATACACAGAACATGTGGGGATTGGCTGTCATAACTCCTCATTAAGGTACGGTCACTATCTAATAACATCTTTCTTAGCTCTCTTAAGTATCATAGAAGCCGCTGACCTTGTATTTATTGTTTAGATTAATGTTATATCAAAGAAAATTCTATTACTACCTTTAAATGAATTAAGGATAAAATCTAACAGCTAGTTTCAGTTACTGGCAGGCTACTGGGTGTCACAATGGACTGTTAGAAAGACTGCAGATTCAAGAGTCAGCTGGCCAGATTTATAATTTCATTTTCACCACTAAACAATTATTTGTTTATATATGTAACTGTATGACCTTGGACAAATCACCAGCATATCTAATACTTCAATTTCCTGCCATATTAAATGAAAGTAGTAGTTCTTTTCTTACCTGAAAGGGTTTATACAAAAATAAAATAAATTATAAGAGGGGAAAGAAAGGAAGTGTGATATGAACACAAGATATCAATATTACCCCTAGGTCTTTTCTTCTTAACACAATGAAAATATAGCTTCCTTTGTCCCTCCTCTGCAGTCTCAACTATTGGGGGAAAAAATGTCAGAATTATGGACATTGACCAAAATTGATGAGATTAGGTAATTAGATCCTGTCTTTTGATGATGAGTTTCCAGCTATTTTATGAATGAAAGTGCTTAGTTTTCAATGAATTTGTGGCTTATTTGGCATACAAATTCTGCCTAAAGGCTACATCTGCCCCATTTTCTCTGCCTGGGGCTTCTGCCAGTTGTTCCATAGCAGGTGATGGAAACTTTTTGAGTCCAGCAACCAGGGACTGAACGTCACATTCCTTTTGGCTAAGGAAAAGTTAATCAGAATCCATTATTAGTCAGTAGGAAGCCAGGTCTTTCATTAAAATGGAACTCCTTTAAGAGTAAGACAGTATGACAATGCTTCTGCCCTTCTCCAGATTTCACCTAGTTCACTCAACATGATCAGCCTGGAGTAGGGCATAATTAATATGTTCCTAGAGAGGTCTATCTACCATCTATGAACAAAGGATGTGAGAGAACTATTGGAAGAAAAGGAAGAACTCTGGCTCCATTTTTTTTTCCTATGAGAAAGTTAAGCAGAACCAGCTTGGGTTTACAAATCTGGACAAGTCAGGCTTTTTAGGTTGGAATCATAGAATATTAGTGCTGGAAGAAAACAAAATAAATCTAGTCCAACTCCTTTCATTTTTCTGAGGTTATATTATTGTGTGTCACTTGATAACCAAGTCTTAAAATGAATTTCTTATGCAGCCAGAAACAGAAAAATGTCCAGTGATCTTTCTACTATGATACAACTCTCAATTGTTATTTAATTTTCTTCCTAGACATTCCTTTTAAGCTAAAGCAGTTGAGTGATAGATTGACTTCTTCGTTTATTTATATAAATCCATTCATTCATTTATCTATTCATTTGTTAATGAATTTATTTTTTGGGGGGTGGGGGTGATGGTGGTGGTTAGAGCAGTGCTATGGTATAGAAAAAACATTGCAAAAGAATGTCAAGGGATCTCAATTCTGATTCTTTTTCTCTCCTTCAACCAACAAGTCACTGTGTGCCCTTAGGCATATTACTTAACCTCTCTGAACTTCATAAAATTCATTTATAAAATGAAGCTAGTTATATCTTATCTTCCTGAAAAGTGAGAGTAAGTGTTGACTAGTTCCAGAGGATTTCTTTATTCCTTGTCCATCTCTAAGATCTCAGATTTTTTTTTATTTCATATTTGTTCCATTAGATTCCTTATCAGTGAACAGAGAGAAAGATATAATAAAGATTAAGAGGCATCTTGGGCCAATTTTTTAATGGGTTTGTAAAGCTGAATTGGAGTTATTGAAAGAACTAGGGAGGGCCCAGGCAAGCAAAATGAGTTGAAGTACTTTGCTATTTAAAAATGTCTGTAATAAATAATGTTAAGTGGTTCAAGTATTGAATGAATGACACTTATTTGCAGCACAAGCCCTTCATCAGATAGTTAACATACTTGGGCATAGCTAAAACTCTTCCCTTTTATACTCCATCACCTTCCATCTTCTGCCACCCACCCCATTACTTATGTCATTGGAATATAGAGGGAAGAGAATCTGAAGAAGAGATGGTGAATGGGGCAATAAGGCACTGCCCTGCATTCCATCAACCTTGAGCACCTGTAGTATGCAAGGCAATATGTTAGAGCCTGTTGGGAATTAAAAGAATAAAAGAGTAAAATTACATCCCTGACCTCAAAGTTAAATAATAATGGAGAGTAATTATATAAGAAATGTGATAAAACCATTCATAATTAATTGTTAGACTTTAAGGCCTATGAATTCTAAGAAAGGAAAAATGGCTAAGCGTCTGAATCTTCAGGAAAGTCTCAGTGAAGGAGCTGGGTAGGATTTAGAGAGACAATAAAAGAATAAGGAGCTGTTACAACTCTTAAGTTTTAAAAAATGGGAAAAGCCAGTGTTGGGGGAGTGTAGGAAGACAGACATACTGTCATACTTTTGGTTGAGCTGCAAGTGACTCAAGCAGTCTGGATTTTCATTTGAAATTATGTAAGAAAATTTACCAAATTACCCATAACTTTTGACCGAACAATCTACCTACTAGGCTGAAGTCAAAGACATAAACAAAATGCTGGTATGTACCAGAATCTCCATTGCAACCTTCTAAAAGCTCCTGCCAAATGACTTCTAACTGGTTCCAAATAGTTAAATAAATGTAATGGGATATGTGTGATGGTGTAACAATGAGAAATTCAGAACAGGGCAGGAAGAATTATATGAACTAATACAAATCAAAAGATGGGGAACCAAGAGGGCAATATATTCAGTAATGATAATGAAAACAATTAAATGGAGGTTAAACATTTTTTAGTGGAAAAAAAAATGCACACTCTGAAGAATGAACAACCAAACATGTTTCCTCCCTCATAGCATAGAGGTGGCTGCTACTAGCACAGAATAGACTATACAATATTAGAAAATATTTTTGCATCAGATATTTTGCCTAATTATTTTTCAGTCTCTAGAAAGGAAGTTACAGTGGGGGTAGATGGGAGTGAAGTGGGAAATAACTATGTTATAAAGAAAAATGACATCCATAAAATATATTTTAAAGAAGAATGTCATGTCAAGCTAACCTTAGTTTCTTTGACAGAAATTAGAAATGTATTCCAAAGACATGTTTTATAATTTACTTAGATTTCAGCAAAGCATTTAAAAAAAACTCTCTTCTATTTCCTGTCAACAAGATTAAAATATAAATTTACCAGTAAAATGGTTAGGTAGATAGAAAATTGATTGAATAGCTGTATCCATTTAAAAAGAGGCCTCTTTTGTAGCCCCTCATGCACTTCTGCTCGGTACTGTTTTTGTCTGACACATTTTATTAATGGCTTAGATAAAAACATAAATGACCCACATAACTAAATTTGCAGATCATGTGAACCTAGGAAAGATAGTTAACACACTGACATGCTTAGGATCCAAAAATACTTTGATAAGGTAAAATGTTGGGCTGAATGTATTTTTTAATTCAATGTGGGATAAATATTATCTTATGTCTCAGATTTTAAAAATCATTTTCATAACTATAAGATTGGAAAGATATGATTAGGTAGCAGTTCACGTGAAATAATGACATTTAAAATAGTTAATGTGAACTTGAGGGGCAGCATTAAGAAAAATATTATTTCCAGACTAGATAAGTGATTATCTGGCTCTACTCTGTACTAGTTAGTCTAGACCTAGATTATTGTGTTTAAGTCTATGTACTGCATTTTAGGAATTCTTTAGTAAGCTGAAAACTGCAGCTTTTTTTTTCCCCCGAAGAAGTATAACTAGAAGAGTGTAGAGCCTCACATTCATGGCATATGGAAAATAGTTGAATAAACTGGAGCTATTTGTCCTGGAGAAGATTTAAAGCAAACAAGATAATTGTGGTTTTTTTTGTTTTTTCATATATTGGGAGGTCTGTCGTAATCTGTTTTCCCTTGCAGTATAAGGCAACATTATAGCAATGGAATGAACTTATAGAGATGCAAATGTAAAGAGAAAGGATTGATGTGAGAGATGTTTGATGTTAACAAAAAGTGTTCTTAAAACTTAGAAGTATAATAGGGTCACTTCCTTTTTTCTAGTGTTGTCTATGCAAAAGTGGGAATGATCATTTGTCAGATAAATTCTAGAGTTGATTAATTTTCAAATATTTTGACTGCATGGTCTCTGATATCCCACCCAAGTCTGAAATTTTGTGATTCTGTGGCATTGATTAATATTACACAAATTCTGCCTTTGGTGATTCAAACCTCACTAGATGGGAACTCACAACAGTTTAGGGGTTTTAGATGTAGCCTTCAGTGTCCCAGTTTTCTGTTTGTTTTTGTTAGGCATTGGACAATTGTTTAAACCCCCATCTTCGCTTTTTCCTTCTTAAAATTGAGTGATGGTATCATGAAGAGGGACTATACTAATTAGCGTGATGTGTACCTAAATAGACAATAGTTTCAGGCTTACTTGTTTATCCTGTCCCTTTGCTGAGCCAGACACACATTAGAGAATAACAGGACCAAATGCACATGCAAATCATTTCCAGAGTTTGGAGACACTTCAGATATCCAAAATGAGGAATAATGATTTTTTTATTTGATATATTGCAGATCCTTTTGGGAAGACAGATGAACGGGAACCCCTCACCAATGCAGTTAGGAGCGATTCGGCTGTCATTGGAGGTAATCCATTTCTCATCACTGAAAGCAATATACAAGTAAATCAGGCAGAAACCAAGGGATATGGACTCCTGACAGTTAGGAAGAGGATGCACTTAATGTTCTCCTTTTGAATACACCAGCCTTTCCGCATGCAGAGGTTATAAAGTCTTAGATTGTACCTACAGATGCCCATATGCACTGTGAAGAATGATCAAAGGAAATCATCTCCCATAGTATTCACAGATTGACCAAATTTCCCCCATGCCTCATCCATCATTCAGATGGCACAGAGACAACAGCTGGAGTGTTTACATCTAGATAGGCATCCTGTAACCTGTTCTTCTCATCCAGTTATCAGTTTTCCTAAAGTAAAAAACAAACAAACAAACAAAAAAGCAAACTCATAAAGCTGCACACAGGGAAGCAGCCATGTTGGAGCAAACAGATGGGTGAATCTACATTTCTCTTGGGTTTTTTCAACCAAGCGCTTTTGGTTAAATCTAATGTGTGGGATGAAGCCCACAGGACTTAAATTTCAAACCTAGCAGAACATATGGCTGCTTAACTAAAAATGTACATCTGCTCTATCCAAACATTTGCAGTTATCTGCTTCTCTTTCCTTTATTTTTTCTTTCTCTTTCACTTTCTCTCCTTGCTTTCCTTCTTTTTTCTTTCTTCTCTTCCTTGCTCTTTACTCTACAGTTATGCCTTTCTCTCACCTTCTCTTCTTCTCTTTATCCTATTTTATTTCATCTATTCCCTGGAGTGCCTTGATTTTTTTTTTCCCATGTAAATCTTATAACATAAAATGACCTCATTATTTTCTTTCTGTAAGATGTCTTTTGGAAATTAATTTCTTTTACATCAGAAAGTCATAACCAACCCTGAAAATGGACCCCTGCCTTTGGCTGGATTAGAATAACTGGTCCATGACAGATGGGTTTGTCATGTTCTTAAAAGTCTATCAGAGGGTGATATACATCTCTTTCAGGAGAAATTCTTCATTTTAACTGCAGTGTGAATGATCTTGTTTGATTTTTTTCTTGCCCACTGATAAAAGTTCATGCCCCTGTGGTGGAGGGAGAAAGAATACCCTGTTTTTGAACCTGGTATAAGATTATCTGTTTGACTTAAGCTGTATAGAAAACCTAGGCTTAGACGCTAGCCAGCAAATTGTGTTTGATGAAGCTCTAACCTAATCACATGCATTTAGATGGTATCTTCTCAGAAATGTGGATGCCGTATTACCCCATAGTGAAGGCTGTGCAATCACATATCTAGATCTCCATAGCCCATGCACTGCAGGTAGATAATTGGTGTGCAGAAATCCCATACTTCTCTTCAGCTCCATTCCCTAATACCTAATCATCTGAAACCTCATTCCCTCTATTCTGTCTCCTTTATACCCTTCCTTTTACATCTCCCACTTTATCCCTCAGATTTTTCTACTAGATGTATTAGAAGAACCTACCCCTCTGATTTAGTAAATGCAAAGATCTATTTTAGTTCCTTTAAGGTACCTGATTTTAAAATATTCTGTTTTTACACGCTACTCTATAAGACTTGTCATGCAATAAGTGTTTGATCCTCTAAATGATTCTTTATCAAATAAAATAAAATTTTAATGAATCTGAGCATAAGAGCTTTTTAGCTGAGGCATAATCGAGAGATAATATTCCAAAAGTAATTTTATTATTATCATGGAGTTTTTCTTATCAGAGATATAAAACTTAATGAATTAATTATATATGTATATTTTATATATTTACATATGGTTATATTTATAGAAGTTATAGCAAGGACACCAATTATAAAACATGTCACATTAATCATGCAATTTACCCTCTGCATGCAGCTGATTCTTGGGGAGAGTGGGTTCAATCCTTTTAATATGATGTTGGTCAGGTAAATGTATAGATGGATGTTTTGTTCCTCATGGCTCTTCACTTTGGGCATCCTTTCTTTTCCTCATGGAATCTCTACCAAATTTATATATATATATATGTGTGTGTGTGTGTGTGTGTGTGTATACATATATATATATATACACACACACATATACATATACACACATATATACATATATGTATATATACATATATACATATACACATATATACATGTACACACACACATATATATATATACACATATATGTGTGCTTATGTGTGTGTGTGTGTGTGTGTGTGTGTGTGTATTGCATGTAGTCCCACTAATCGACTATTTACTCCCTTCCTCTACTGGGCTAACTTCTTAAAGGATCAGGTAGGGGTAGCTAGGTGGCACAGTGGATAGAGCACTGGCCTTGAAGTCAGGAGGAACTGAGTTCAAATCCAGCCTCAGACCAAACACTTGACACTTACTAGCTGTGTGACGCTGGGCAAGTCACTTAACCCCAATTGCCTAAAACAAAAAAACAAAAAAAAAGAAAAGATCAGGCACCTTGGCAGTTGAGTTAGTTGATGATTCGGATGAGTCAAGCAAGTTGTTCCTCAGATTACACTCTTTGCCAAAGTCGGCTATACTTGCTCTCAGTTCTGATGCTTTCTGCTACTGACTCTCTTTGCTGACAGGAGCTCTGATAGCTCTTCCAGCTTTTCAAAACTAACAAGGATGCTACCTTATCCATCACGTTTCTAAACATCTATCTTTATTTAAGTTAACAAATGAATAAATAGAAATGAAACAGGATGTCTGGGTGGGATGTGGGGAGTACAATTTGCTGCATGCCTTCTCTCCCCATCCTGTCCCCCAGAAGCTCACGATTTTCTTCTTCATTATAAAGTCACCAGGGGAAAAAGTGAGAAATCATTTTCTCAATTTTTTTTAATGCACCATCAACAGTCTTACCCTGGCCAGTTTTATCTCCATAGTGCCAGCCCCTTAATCGCTTATGGTTGGAAGTAGAATAAGAAGGCCTTTACGTATTGGATTGAAACCTGACAGAGAATATAGTGTACTCAATCTCTAACTCTCAAGGAAAGGCAAAACTGCATGCTCTAAAGTCTGTGTCTTATTGACCAGTATCCCCACTAAACATCAAAGAATATATTTAAAAATCGGGGGGCTAGGTGGCACAGTGGATAGAACAGTGACTTTGAAGTCAGGAGGACCTGAGTTCAAATTTGGCCTCTGACCAAACACTTGACACTTACTAGCTGTGTGACCCTGGGCAAGTCACTTAACCCCAATTGCCTAAAAACAAACAAACAAATAAAAACATGACATTATCTACAGTAGAACTCTATATGCAACCTTTCCCTCTCTTTGTGAGTATTCCTGGCCATAACTCCTTCTATTATAAGCATTATATTAGGTACTGTTCTAATGATTCTGTCTAGGTTCCCAGCATCTCTCTTCTCTACAGAGTTTTTCACCTGGAAGTATTTTAAGAGTTTGTATCTTATCATTTGAAGATATATAGTCACTTTTATCACAAACCATCACAAGTGAAACATTTTGGGGTAGGAATCCAAGGATCCTGGCAGGTCCAACCCCACTTTTCACTCTATTATTAGTCCTAACTCCCTAAAGGACAGAATGGCATTTAACTCTCAACTAGTAAAGGAAGAACATTCAAAAGAACAAATACTTATACAACGTATAATAAACTCAGGAGTTTAACCAAATGCCTCATTCAGTCATACACACATTTACTTGAGGTGATCCCCATGAAATCTCATCCATCAGTTCATCATTGAATGCCTCTTCTTGTTGTGATGGTGAAGCAGCACTGAATCTGTGAACTGTATCTGAATAGGAAATTCACCTTCATATTCTCCTTCAAACCAGCCATTTCTCCTTATTTCTTCCATGTAGTCAGATATAAAACTTCTTGGTCCTCCATCATCTCCATTATACTCAGTTCACCCTCAGGACTTTCACATTGTGTCAGGTCTTCATTGCTTCTTTGGGTTGCCCTATTTTTAGTGTCCTAATAACCTTTGCCACTTTCCCCCTATACTTTCAAGATATTTCACATTCTGCTGTAAGGTTCATCTTGCTAAAATACAATTCTGAACATACTAAGCTCTTGCTCAAAAATGTAAAGCACTATAAAAATGTGAATTGTCATAATTAAAATTGTCTAATTTTCTGTTCATATGTGGATTTTTAACATTTTAATTTATTTAACATTCTTTTCTTTTTAAATTTTGAGTTCCAAATTCTCTCCCTCTTTCCCTTACCATCCCTCACACTTTCAGAAGCCAAGCAACATGATATCAGTTATACCTGTGGAATCATGAAAAAACTGCAATTTCAATATTAACCATATTTCAAAAAAAAGCAAGAAAAATGAAGTGAGAATTATACTTCAATTTGCACTCAGAGTTTGCACTTCAATTCTGTCTTGTGGAAGTAGATAGATTTTTTTTTAATCATAACTCTTTTGGAATTGTGTTTAATGATTATAGTGATCAGAGTAGCCACATCTTTACAACTGATCATCATTCTGATGTCCTTGTTATTGTGCAGAATGATCTCCCAGTTCTTCTCATGCCATTTTGCATCAATTCATATAGATCTTGCTGTGCTCTTCTGAAACCCAGCCGTCACATCATTTCTTATACCACAACGGTACTCTATTAACATCATTGTAACACAGCTTGTTCAGCCATTCCCTAATTGATGAGAATCCCCTTGATTTCCAATTCTTTGCCACCACAAAATAGTGGCATAAATATTTGTAAGATCAATTAATTAATTAATTAATTTTTAGTTTTCAACATTCACTTTCACAAGATTTTGAGTTCCAAATTTTCTCCTCATCTCATCCCTGCCCCAACCCCAAGACAGCGTGCATTCTGAATACCCTTTCTCCTAATCTGCCCTCCCTTCTATCTATGCCCCCTTATCTTATCCCCTTCCTCTTCTATTTTCTTGTAGGTCAGGATAGATTTCTATACCTCATTGCCTGTATATCTTATTTCCCAGTTGCGTGTGAAGACAATTTTTTTAACATTTGTTTTTGAAAGTTTGGGTTCCAAAGTTTCTCCCTTCCTCCCTCCTTATCCATCCTCATTGAGAAGGCAAACAAATCGATACAGGTGATACTTGTGTAGTCATACAAAACACTTCCACAGTAATCATGCTGTGGAAAACTAACTATATTTCCCTTCATCCTATCCACTCACTTATTCTATTTTCTGTCTTTTGACCCCATCTTTCCTCAGAAGTGTTTGCTTCTGATTACCCCCTCTCCCAATCTGCACTCCTCTCTATTATTCCCTTGCTCTCTTGTCCCCTTCTCCCCCTATGTTCCTGTAGGATAAGATAACTTTCCATACCCAATTGAGCGTGTATGTTATCTGCTCCTTAAGCCAAGTCTGATGCGATTAAGATTCACTCATTCCCTCTCACCTTCCCCCACTTCCCCTCCACTGTAAAAGCCTTTTCTTGACTGTTTTATGTGAGATAATTTACCCCATTCTACCTCTCCCTTTCTCCTTCTCCTAGTATAATCCTCTCACCCCTTAATTTTATTCTCCAGATATCACTTATTCATCTTCAACTCACCCTATGCCCTCTATCTATCATTCTATCTATACATACATTTTTTTCCCTCCAACTACCCTAATAGTGACAAAGGTCTCATGATTTACAAATATCTCTCCATGTAGGAATGTAAAAAGTTCAACCTTAATAAGTCCGTTATGATTTCTCTTTCCTGTTTACCTCTTCATGTTCCTTGAGTCTTCTATTTGAAAGTCAAATTTTCTTATTCAGCTCTGGTCTTTTCATCAAGAATGCTTGAAAGTCCTCTATTTCCCTGAATGACTATTTTTTCCCCTGAAGGATTGTACTCAGTTTTGCTGGGTAGGTGATTCTTGGTTGTAATCCTATCTCCTTTGCCCTCTGGAATATTATATTACATGCCTTGCGGTCCTTTAATGTAGAAGCTGGTAAATCTTGTGTTATCCTGATTGTGTTTCCACAGTACTTGAATTGTTTCCTTCTAGCAGCTTGTAATATTTTCTCCTTGACCTGGGAACTCTGGAATTTGGCTACAACATTCCTAGGATTTTTCCTTTGGGGATCTCTTTCAGGAGGAGATCGGTGGATTCTTTCAATTTCTATTTTGCCCTCTGGTTCTACTATATCAGGGCAGTTTTCTTTGATAATTTTTTGAAAGATGATGTCTAGGCTGTTTTTTTGATCATGGCTTTCAGATAGTCCAATAAGTTTTAAATTCTCTCTCCTGGATCTCTTTTCCAGGTATGTTGTTTTTCCAATGAGATATTTCACATTGTTTTCTAATTTTTCATTCTTTTGGATTTGTTTTACAGTGTCTTGATTTCTCATAAAGTCACTAGCTTCCAATTGCTCTATCCTAATTTTTAAGGAAGTATTTTCTTCGGTAATCTTTTGGAGTTCCTTTTCCATTTGGCCAGTTTTTCTTTTTAGGGCATTTTTCTCCCCATTGGCTTTTTGGACCTCTTTTGCCATTTGGGTTAGGCTATATTTTAAGGTGTTATTTTCTTCAGTATTTTTTGGGTCTCCTTTAGCAAGCTGTTGACTTGTTTTTCATGATTTTCTTGCATTATTCTCATTTCTCTTCCCAGTTTTTCCTTTACTTCCCTTACTTGCTTCTCAAAATCCCTTTTGAGCTCTTCCAAGGCCTGGGAGTGATTCATATTTTTCTTAGAGGCTTTGGATGTAGGAGCTTTGACTTTGTTGTCTTCTTCTGGTTGTATATTTTGATCTTCTTTTTCACCAGAGTAAGATAATATAGTCTGACTCTTTTTGTGCTGCTTGCTCATGATCCCAGCCAATTACTTGAGTTTGAAACTCTTTGTTAAGGTAAGAGTCTGCTTCCAATGTGGAGAGTGTACTGTCCCAAGCTTCAGGGGTTTGTGTAGCTGTTTTCAGAGATACTTGTAGGGACCTGTAAATTTTCAGTTCTTCCAAGGTGGTATGATAAGGGGCAAGGTGTTTACTCCTTTCCTGGCCTGTGAGTACAAGTATTCCTTTCTGTCCTGTAATTGTGAGGAGGGGTTCTTCTCCACAGCCACTACAAGCTCCACCATGCCAGCATTCCTCCTTACCCCAGCACTACTGCCCAGAAATGCGACCCAGATCCAAACACAGGCAAAGCAAGAGATTCCTGCCTCAGCACTGGCAAAGAGATCCCTGCGATTCCTCTCTGATCAGCCACTTGGTTCCCCCCTCAGTCTGTGGGCCGGAAGCTCGGGAAGCAGCTGTCCCCCACCCCCCAGGGCCATGCTCTTGGGGAATGGAGCTGAAACCCCGCCTTCCCCTCTGAGCACCGACAGAAACAGACTTTTCCCACTGACCTTCTAAGTTGTCTTTGGCATTCATGGATTGAGGAGTCTGGAAACCTCCACAGCTGCGGGTGATTCAGTCCTCTGAGGCCTGCTCCAGGTTTGCTGTTGCCTGCGCTCCCATGCTGTGCTGCGCTTCCAGCCTGGCATGATACACCTTTCTGATCAATCATCCAGGTTGTCTTGGGCTGGAAATTTGTTTCACTCTGTGTTTTTGTGGGTTCTGCTGCTTCAGAATTTGTTTAGAGCCTTGGAATTGTTGCCCAGAACTGAGTAGGGGCAATAGGCTTGCCAGAAGAGCCAGCTATACCCAGTCCCGGCAAAGGGTCCACTGTAATCTCTTTCTGACCAGTGATCTGACCCTTTACTGTCTGTGGGCTGAGAGCTTTTAAAGCTGCTGCTATTGCAACTGAGCTCCAGACAAGCCTCCATCCCTGTGCCATAGACCTCTGCAATATCAAGGTTTCTTAGGCCAAAAAAGTGTCTCATTATGACCTATTGTTGGCTCTGCTGTTCCAAAATTTGATTTTAGGTGTTATTTTAAAGCTGTTTCGATGGGAATATTGGGAGAGTTCAGCTAGTTGGCTGCCAAGACTGTCAAGAAGACTATCTGTCTTCTTAATGTCTCCTCAATTATGTTAAAATTTCAGAGCCTGCTTTTTAAGAACTTCTATGCTCTAACCTCAACATATTTTTCTAGACTTTCTCCCACAGCTCCCCGAACATAAAAGTAAACTGGCCTCCTATAGATTCTCTAAATATGCTTTTTGATTTCCTACTTCCTTGCCTTTATTTGACTTTAATTCCTTCTTCCCCCATTTCCACATCCACTAGCTAATATCCTATGTACTCTTTAGAGGCTAAATCAAATGCTCACTTCTTCCTAAAATTTCCTTGATCCTTTAACTTATTGTCATTGAATGAGGAGGGAGGAGGAAGCTTGAAATTTTTTTTTTTGCAAGGAATGGGGTGAAGTGACTTGCCCAGGGTCACATAGTTAGTGTGTCTGAGGCCACATTTGAGCCCAGGTCTTCCTGAATCCAGGGCTGGTGCTCTATGTACTGCACCATCTAGCTGCCCCTGAACTTGGATATCATTGAATCATATATTTAGAGCTAGAAGTATCTATGGAAAGCCTGTAATGCAACATTTACTTTTAGATAAGTAACCAAGACCTAGTGAGGTTAAATGATTTGCCCAAGGTCACAAAGATATGAAATAACAAAGCTTTTATTGGTAACTAGGTCCTCTAAGTATAAATTATTTTTCTTACCTGTGACCCTTCAAGCTCTCTGCTTGATGGATATGGTGTGATTTATTTATTTATTTTTTATCTGTTTCTCTCCTGATTCTTTCTAGGTGTAATAGCAGTGGTGATATTCATCATCTTCTGCATCATTGGTATCATGACTCGATTCCTTTACCAACATAAACACTCACATCGAACTAACCAGATGAAGGAGAAAGAATATCCAGAAAATTTGGACAATTCCTTTAGAAATGACATTGACTTGCAGAACACAGTAAGCGAGTGTAAACGAGAGTATTTCATCTGATGGACTAAATGGTCCCCACAAATTATTTTCCCCTTTCTTTCTGTTTTCTATTTCCTCCTTATTTATTTTCCCTTTACTTTTGAGAAGACCCTACCCTTCCCCTTACCCCAACCCCAAGAGACTCCCAACAGCTATCACACCACCTCCTCTGCACAAGCCTGTCCTGGTGACAACGACCACTCAAGAGACCTGCTATACTACTTTAGACCTAATAAGAGCCACATTTGTGCATGGTTGCCTATTGAGTTTTTCTATTTCCACAGTTTCTGAAGTACTTTCTTATTTTCCACATCTACTCAGTCTCACAGATCTGCATCTAAACTATGTGGTTAGAGGTGCAGGAATTCATTTATAAACCTCTTCCTGAACCCCATGCTTCCATTTATAGAATAGAGACAAGAGAGAAATCTTGGATTCCTGATTTGTTTCTGTGGCACCTTAAAAGGTCCAAGAGAGATTTTTGTTGTTGTTGTTGTTGTTGTTGTTGTTATTGACTTATCATAGGCCGCTCCTTTCCCAATCCCTTCCCCTTTTTACTGTAACTTTTAGGCTCTGAAAATTTGCAAATATAGGATTACTGATAGTAGCAACAGGTACAAAGAAATTAATGTGCACCTCACTCAGCACCCCCTTGTGGGGTTGATCATTTAGAACAACATACGATAGCATAAATCTAGGTGAAGCATGGGAAAAAGTAGTAGCTTGAAATTAAAAGGAAAAAAAATAAAAGAAAGCTGCTAAAATTAGATTTTCTGTAACTGCACTGATGCCTCTTTTCGATTTTATATGAAATGTTAGCTAGGTTATTGCCCACTGGTGTCAGAGGTCCAAGAAATGATGGCATAAGAAAATAACGGTAAAATTTCTAAAATACTGGGCATCATGAAGCAGCATACCCTCTTTACATAACTCGAAGAACTGAATGAAAGAAAATAAATAGTAAAGATTGGAGTAAAGGGAGAGATAAATTGCTTTAATCGTTTTGGATAGTTAGATTCAATTGCATTCAAAATGTCCATTTGTTCTGACCACTTTCAAAATGCTGTTTATAATTAGATGAGTTGGTTATACTGACCTTCTTGGGGAAATGTAGACTGGAAATCTTGCTAACTTAGTTGTTTTCATATGGGATCAAAACTATATACTCCTTAAAAATATGTTGTATCTTCTTTGTCACAAAGTCCCGAAGATAAACCTGTATGTAAGCTAAGGATTAGAGCCTCCAGAGGAGGTGGTCGTTTGAAAACTCTCTTGGTAGTTTTTTGCATTTGTTCTGTTCTTACGTTAATCACATTGAAAAAAACAGAAAAACACCTGCAACCTTTTGCCCTTTGACCTACGTGGAAAAAAGGAAAGGAGGGAGCTGGGGACCTCACCACCAAATACTGATGGAATAATCCACAGATGTGGATGGCATTCACTGATTCTGTTTACAAGACAAACTTGATTTTGAAAACAATTACTGCTTTGCTGCTTCTAGGCCCTGACAGTTAGCAGATGCTCCATCTTGTTCTCAGTGTTTATATTACATTTGATTATTTAATGCTCCCTTTGCGTGACAGGACTCCCAATGTTGAGCTCATTAGCTCCATTCATTTCAGAGTTCTCTTTGTTTTTGGTGGCTGAAATCATAGGAAAATGATCTTTCTTGCTTTTGGGTTTCTCTGCTTTAGGGCCTTACACTAAATAATAAGATTGTTCCTTATTTTCCAATGTCTGTGAACTCCTCTAGCACCTCATTGTTTTCATTATATCTTTGTCCTAGTAAATATTTTTAAGTGATTCTAATAAGGATGCAATGTTTCTTTCCTCTTATGAACTTAATTGACTTTAATAAACAGAGAGTTATTTTAATTGTATATCTTCCCCATCTACTAACCCCTCCAGACTGTCAGTTTTGAATTTTCTAATTCTAAAAATGTAGCATAAATCAGTTTTCTGCTAGGCTACATACTCTTCTTTTCCTGAAATAAAAGACACCAATAAAGAATAGGAAGTCTAGCCTGAAGCATCTCCAATAATGAAATGGAAAGAAAAGGGAGTGTGTGAGTAATAAAGCTGAATTTCTTCATTATTCAAGCTTCTGGAAGAAAAGGCTGCTTTTTTTTTTTTTTTGCTGACACGGCTTAGATGAATATATATGTACAAAGGCCAAATGAGAATAGTTTGATTTTCTCACCTACTTTGGTATGTATCTAGGGAGCTGTGGAGATTGAACACCAACATGGCCGTTTCACTAGCGTATATGTACTTGTTCACGTACACACATACTAGTGCATCTGTAGACAGCATGTGTACATCATATATGCCCTGTTTAAAAGAGAGGTTCATGCAGACAGCACTATCACCACATCACTTATGCCAGGCGAGATTCAAGGCAAAATCAAGTTTGTTAATAGAGTACCTGAAAGCTCATTGATCTAATTCTGGAGAGTTCTCATTGGACCTCATTGAATAACAACTAAGTAAGCTACACCCTTTAAAATCAAATGGGACTTACAGTGGTAAGAGTTGAGGACTGATTCACCCCCGTTCTTTCTGTGGAAGGATGTATTCCTGCTGTTTCATGCAATTGTCAAAGTTCAAGACTGTTTCATCCCTTGGATAATTAAACCAATCTTTAGAAACACATGTATAGTCTGTACAATCCCATATAATCCTATATTTATCCCACTCTTCCCTTTTGCTCGATAGGTGGGTTTCCTAACTGCATAATGAGGTTCCATGAGTCACCTCAGTGTTCCATTTAGACCCTTAGTACTTCTAACAAAAAAAAATGCCACTTTACAGCAAAACCAAAAAAAAAAGACAAATTAAAAAAAAAAAACCCTGTATAATTTCACATTTAAAAGGAGCTCTATCACTGATATTCCTACCAAATAAATCTCCTATTTTCTTAGTCCATACCAAATTGTAGTGTGTTTCACTTATCCTAGGAGTATTTTTAATATTCATTTTACCATGCATCATTTACTCAGGTTATACTTCCAAGTTTACTATGAGAGTTCTATCTAGAATAAAGAAAATAGACCTTTTTCAAAAGCCAATTGTAAAATATTTTAGATGCCTGTATTCTTTATCATACATATTTTGGGCATTTACTTTAGGAGAAACTGCTTCATGAATTATATCCACATCTGTGTCTTACACTCAAAAAGAAGGTAACCCAATTTCCCTTCTCCAATATCAGATCTTTACCCTATACACACTATTAGCATCAGGGGTAAAAATAAAATAAAGAGTGAAGTATCATATCTGAGGTCCATTACTTTTTTACAAATTTCACCATGAATATTTAAGGAAATATTTTTTTTTCATGCATTAGTAACAATTGGTCACATTATGTGCCAGCTAACCCACTTCTCATTATCTTATCATCATCTATCCCAGGTAACTGATGCTTTACCCATGAATACAAGTTATTGGAGAGAGTCATTAACAAACTATGTAACAGATCAAATTATTATGAACAGTCAGTCTGGATGCTCCATGAATCTACAGCATGCTTTGAAGTCTGAATTATTGTGAGCCTTTTCTCTTTTCTGTGCTTTGTTTTCCTGGGCAGATTTTAAAAAAATGTGGAAGTCATCATATGATACTCCAAAATGCTCCTACTTAGAAGTCTGAACTTATATAACTGAATATAAAACTGAAGTCTTGGGAACACTGTTTTAGATACCATATCCTTCTCTCTGACCTCCTTTTCTCTTACCTGCATAAATTTCCACTGATGCATACTACTTTTCAGAACTTACAACCCCTTTGTTCTCTCTTCAGTGTGGCATTCTCTTTTCTGCTCATGCGGTGCAATTTCTATTTTTTGTTTTTCTCCTGGCCTTTTACCAATGTTCCTACAATGGCAATGAAGGCGAGAGACATAGATGGAATGAGCTTCATTAATTTCCTAATGTATTATTCTTCCATGCCTTGCACCCCTCAATAGAAGACTAATTTGAGAGAGCCATTGAGCACCACATAGAAAATATTCTTTAGTAACAGAGGACTAGTAAGTGCTCTTAGTGCTAACTGTCCTACCAAGTGAATTTTCACAATGCAAGGTAACATCCAGAAAGAGTCCTTTTCTATTCAGTGGTCAACTGGTGTCCTGCCTTGATAGCTGGATATTTTTCACTGAAAGAGAACATGCAAGAAAAAGCTGTCTATCATACGGGATGAAAGACATGAGGCCACATGAATTCATGCTCTGTCTTTCTTCACAAAAAGCTTGAGAATTTGACCTCTGTCAGTCTTGCTTTTCATTGCACGCCCTTTTGTTAAGATAATTCCAAAAAATAGTGCTGGATAACTAAGGGACATTTGGACAATGTATTTTTCTGTCACTTCTTTTCATTACCAAAAAGGTTATTGTTTTATTCCTCTGTCTTTCTTGTCTTCCACAGGTCACATTTAGATTCCCCCCACACCAAAAAAAAAAAGCCTTTAAAAATGATTAAATAGTGACCAAAAGAAGGAATCATGGGTACACCCAATATTAGGTTTGAATATCTGAAAAGCAACTGAGTAATAGTTCAGGTTTGGTGATGTTTCCTGTGAAATGATAAGTGGTTTAATTGAATTATTTCCAAGTACTGTTTTTAATCTCTACCCCTTTACAAAAGGAAAAAAAAACCAACTTATTTTCACATTTATCAGGCTTAAACTTTTTTTTCTTTTTCATTTTTCTCTGTCTCTCAGTTTTGATTTCACTAATTCAGAGTAGTTGAATGTACTGGTGAGAAGAAATAAAAAAAGTCACAAGTTTTCCAAAATAAAGGCTTGCTATTTAAATTTTCTCCAAGAAATACTGCATACTTTTTTTCTATTTAGTACAGGAAATTCAGTACCTCCTTAAATATTTTATATATATTATATGTGTATATATATATATATGTATATGTATATATATGTATATGTACATATATGTATGTATATTTCCCCATAATCTGTCTAGATAGATAGATAGATAGATAGATAGATAGATAGGTAGATAGATAGATAGATTTTTAAGATTTGAATTCATCCCTACTCCTGGTGACCTGAACTATGACAAATTTGAGAGGACTTTAGGCTAGGCTACGTGTAAATAAAATTTGGAAATCCAACTTTTTATTGTTGCAATTTCCTTCCTCCCTCCCTCCCTCCCTTCCTCCCTCCCTCCCTTCCTCCCTCCCTCCCTCCCTCCCTTCCTCCCTCCTCCCTCCCCTCCCCCTCCCTTCCTTCCTTCCTTCCTTCCTTCCTTCCTTCCTTCCTTCCTTCCTTCCTTCCTTCCTTCCTTCCTTCCTTCCTCCTTCCTTCCTTCCTTCCTTCCTTCCTTCCTTCCTTCCTTCTTTCCTCCCTCCCTTCCTCCCTCCCTCCTTCCTTCCTTCCTTCCTTCCTTCCTTCCTTCCTTCCTTCCTTCCTTCCTTCCTTCCTTCCTTCCTTCCTTCCTTCCTTCCTTCCTTCCTTTCTTCCTTCTTTCCTTTTTCTTTTTTTCTTCATTCCCCTCCTTTTTCCCCCATTAAGGTACTCTGAGGAAGAACAAAAGCACACTTTTCAGTGAAAATGTACTTTGTAATCTAGTTGTCTGTCTTTTGTAATGTTTAGATTCTACAAATGGCTGAGCAGATTTAAGTAAGGGTTAAGGCAATGATTTAGACACATCAGACACAATGTTTCTTGAGCACTTGGTCTAGTGTTGGAAGAATCAGACATGGACAGGGTTATCCTATTATGCTAGTGGTAGTTATCCTCATTACAAAATGCCCCATGCATTGAGGAGTATGTGTAGCCCTTTAGAATAATCATATTATATCTTAGTAAACAACAAGGGCTGTGCACGGGGAATTATGTATTCACCTCTGCATGACATTCTTAGAATCCAACCCCAGCCATCCTCCTCCTGTATGTCAACTAAATACTTTCTTTACTCAAGTTAGCTGCTGTTACATAAGACCATTGTCATGTAAAGTATCTAAATTGAAGTCCATCTTTACCAAAGTTAACTGTAAATGAAATTTTATTGCTTTGTGTTTGCAGAACTGGACAGCCTTCATATTTCATTCCCTGTAACGAATCAGAATAATATTGCCATATCCAGTGGTTTTTCAGGACCAGTTTATTGTGATAGTTTCTCCCCTTCTATTGTGCTGCTATCTCTAGTAGCATGAAAGTGATGATATATGGGCTTTCCTCTTTAAGGATGGTCTTCCCTACTATAATTAAGTAGGAGATGGGGGTTGGAGGGATGTTCTTTCCATTGGTTTCCTAGTAGCAGTGATGGATTTGCATTAATCTGTTCATACTCTATCACCAAATCCCTTTAGAGATCCAGGGCATCCATTGGCCCAATAGCCAGATAGGGTTGGTGTACAACCTATGTATATAGAATAAAGTAAGTAAATTGGCCTGAATGGGAATTAAGCCCATGAACTTGTCCTTGTAATGCTATAACAAGGCCTAGACTCTAACAGTATTATCAGAGATGGAGAGGTGGGGAGAAAAAGAAAGACATGCAGTATTCAACATCAGCATCTCATTATATTTGCTGGCACCTCACATGAATGTGGTCCTTTTCAATATGTCTTTAAGGGATAATAAGGCTAAGTGAGTTTGCTTTGTCATACATGCTGGCAATAGAAATATCCTTTGGAAGTTTTAAATGAAATATTAACACAAACTCTTCCCTTTGAATGACAGCAGAGCCTCAACTTTTGTAACCTCATTCTGCCTCAAATCTGCCTTCAGGGAAACAGTAAACCTCACTCACGGTGATTTAACAAGGGTGCAGGGATGGCTTCCTTATTTACCGAGGTATCAGAATGAGGAACATTTTAATGGTGGATCTGGGGGCGCTATTTCCAAATGATTCCTTTGCCTGCTATACCTGTCTGAATTCTCTTGTTCTCAACCCCTAGATTGAGTACTCATGTTATTAGCAGGTACAGGTGTTGAAAGCCTCCAAAGAAGCATTGCCTTATCAGATGAGGTGTGAACAATAAGGCCTCACTGTGGAAATGACATTTTTAGTCAGGGAGTTCATCTCCACTATCATGTAGGATCCCTTGACTTCTAGGAATCAGAGAAGAAAAGTCACCTTCAATTACAGATGAAGAAAAAAAAAGAAAATGAAGATAAAACGTCTCAGTTACAGTAAAAAATGAATAAATATAGATGAACTGATGAGTAAATAAATAAGCTTCACCTCTCCTTGTACCCTTGCCCAAGTCCTGTGTGAAGGTCTAGATTTTATTTCCACTGTCTGAATTTTTTTTTAACAATCCCAAGGGATGTTGCCTCAATCTGAGTCAGTTTTGTAGACCATGTAACATGTCTTAATACACTGTATGGGGAAAAAAAGGTTAGCCTTAGCTTCTTTTGTTTTCTATGGTTATTGTTGTACAGGAGAAAGACTTAAACTGTAAATAATGTATATTTAATAAAGAGAGACTTTTGTATGATTTTGTGTGGAAGACAACTGTGTCCTGCTCTCTTTTCTTAGGTTAATGAACAGCCAAGCTATTAATCCTACAACTCTCATTTTCATTCCTTTAGACCATTAACTCCCAGACAACATGACCTATGGGGCTTCTGATAAAACATGAAACTCCCACTCCTTGAGTTTATTGATTTCAAACATGGCTAAAAGTGCTGTCACAAGATCTCTTATCACTTGGTTGATTAATCTTGGTCTGGAGCACCTGCTTCCCAATGTGTCAGTTTGATTAAAAAAAAAGTCTACTTATACTCTCTGGTGTTGTCCTGATTACAAAATTCCTTTCATAACCCTTTTCTAAATGACCTCCTGGGTTCACATTCATATTAGTCAGCTTTTAGACTCTATCTTTCCTGTTCCTCTTTAAACACATGACCCTGCTTTCAATATGATGGTATAGATTTAGAGAGAAAATAAGTTCAAATGATTTAAATCCTGTTCAGTTCAACTCCTTTGTATACTGGGTACCTATCAGAGTCTCAGGGATTGTAGAGAATGTAGAAAGAGTGATGGAATGCTGATTTGGTGCTCAAACAACTTAGGTTCAACTTCCAGCTGTGCCATTTACTATGTTACTTTCAGCTTAATCTCTCTAGGCCTCAGTTTCCTTTTTTTAATGAGTTGGCCTATACTAGGGGTGCTCTAAGATTCCTTTCCAATCTAAATCTATGACTACTTGATCCTCTCATGTAGGAGAAATAACACAAGACTTAAGAGTATAGTTACATAGACTCTATTTCTAACTCTATTACTAACTAGGCATGTGATCTGTATTTGCATTAATCTGTTCATTCTCTATCACCAAATCCTTTTAGAGATCCAGGGCATCCATTGGCCCAATAGCCAGATAGGGTTGGTGTACAGCCTATGTATACAGGATAAAATAAAGTAAATTGGCCTAAATGGGAATTAAGCCATGGCCTTGTCATTGTAATGCTCTAACAAGGCCTGGACTCTAACAGTATAATCAGAGATGGAGAGGTGAGTCAAGTGACTTTGCCTCTCCAGGCCTTAGTTTCCTTATTTATAAAGTGGAATTGAATTATATGATCTCTAGGGGCCCTTATGACCCAATTCATTTCTTGGTGCTAAGAAAAAATCTCTGCCTCTTGAGGTGCTTAAAACCCTTTGGAGAGATATGAAAAATATAAGAGTCCATGACAAGGTAGAATATAAGTTAACATTTTTTCTTTGCACATCTGTATTTGGTATCAAGCTTGGGGATGTGAGAGGATAGTATTACCTTTGATCTTTGCAGATGTGTGGCATAAAAAAATAGAAACTTAGTGACACTAGATTTTCTTAATGCACGAGGATGGATTTTATATTTTGTGTTAGCCCAGAGAGAAAGAATGCCAACCGACATGCTTTCATTTGATCTGGTAAGGGATTATTCAGCTTCCATAAATCTGGCTCAGACTGGGTTGAAAAGAATGTTGAGTGAATGAATCAAAGTCATGGATAAGTATAGTTCTGACACCATCCTACTGTGGCTGCTAACTGCCAAGCTAGAGGTCTGTGGATGTAAAATCCATCTGTAGCAGACTGAAAGGGAGGGGTGATGGAGAAGGGAATGGGAAAGCTAATGACAGCTGTGACTGGGAGAAACAGCAGCTCAGACTTAGCCATCACTCTCGGAGGAGCTGAAAGCCTGTTTTGAGAAGGACCGAGAGAATTAGGCCTTGTCATTGAAAACGGCTTTTGCTGGGATATGGGAGAACTGCCATCCAGTTACATGAACACTAGGACACTTCAAAAAGATGCGAACAAACAGCGCCCCCTTAGCCTGCCTCTCTGCTCTCCGATTCTCTACCCCTTGGGAAATAAAGCAACTTTCTCTTGTCTACTAGGGTACCTGGAATTGTGCAAAAGGAATAATGGCATTATCTTAGCATCCCAAAGGCAATAGACATAGAGGATACTCATAATTCTAGGATTCAGAATATTCGATTTCAGAGACTTCGAGGCCTCCTGCTCTTTGCTTCTTGATGCCACTACAACTCTGCCTTCTACTGCATGAACCAGAAGGAAAGCCACTTCATAAATAGAAGGAAAAAAAATGAGTAAAGAATAATAACACTCTCAAGGTTTCCCTTCCCCATTGCAATCATACAAGATAGATGGTAGATAGATAGATAGATGATAGATAGATGATAGAGAGACAGAGAAAGAGACAGAGACAGACAAAGACAGAGATCATTATAAAGTGTAGTATTCTGGACCTGGAGTCAGGGAAGTTCAGAGCTCATTTCAGACACTAGTTGAGGCCCCCTGGGGAAGTCATTTGCATCTTCTATGACTCATTTTCTTTTCTAATTCAGA